GTCACCAACTGCCAGTCCCCAGCTCCAGCGATCTCTTAAAGGGACTTCAACTTACAGTGACACAGTCCACAGGTTAGGTGTCCCACAGGTAGTGTAGCCTTTAAATTGAGGCACAGGACAAGCAAGGCAGCCGCACACTGGTCTGATGATCAAAGAGCGAGAGACAAGAAAGGCGAGGCTCACCAAGCCATTCATCTCTCTGCCCTTCAGTTAATCCCACTTGTGTTTATGGGCCAGGCTGGCACAATAAACTATCTCAGCAACATACCTGACAAAGGGTCTGTTTGTTTGGTCCATAATGTGTTCTTAGAAATTCATCATGAGATGAACAAGGAACATCCGCAGTTCAAGGGCAATACACTCATGAAGGTCAGGGGCTGGTGAGAGATGCTTCTGTGCAGGGGTTCTCAACCTTCCTCATGCCGCCACCCTTTCATACAGTGCCTCATGTGGTGCTGACCCCCAACCATAACATTATTTTCGGTGCTACTCCATCACTGTCGTTTTGATACTGTTATGAATCAGGCGATCCCTGTGAAAGGGTTGTTTGACCCCCAAAGGGGCCGTGACCCACAGGTTGAGAACTACTGCTTTGGTGCATAGCTGGGAGAGACACCCTTGGTCTCTGAATAGCATGTCAATATGCATTAAAGCTTTCAGCGTTTACATTTCCCCTTTCTAGGACCTTATGTTTAGGAAAAATGCACAAGGGGGAGGATGATGATTTTAAAAAGTTGAACTAGCCCAAGTGCTCAAATATCAGGGAGATTCGTTTCACTGTGGTTTACATATAGACTAAACACGCGGCCACAATCGAAAGTCATCTTTTTGAACAAGTGACTTGGGAAAGTCTTCATGATACATCGTTGAGGATGTAAAAGCAAGTTTTAAAATAGCGTGTATGGTATAATTTTTATGTTTGTCGGGGAAAAACTGTGTCCTGTGTAGCCTCTTTAACACACGAGAAACACACGCTACCCATCTACTCGGGTCAGCATGGGCTGGAACATTTTTGTACTGTAGACTTATTTGATATTTCTTTTTTCATTTTCAACGAAGCTTTTGGGTCGTTGCAGGGCCTGCTGGATTTTGAGTTTCCTGAGGATTTGGAGATAGACCCCACTGAACTAGAAGGCGCTTCGGCCAAGGTACCTGATATCCAATCTGTTTATATGAATAATTGTTCATGCATTTTGTCTGTGGTTCAAAGCATAGCCATTTCTATTTCATTATTTATTACCTTCCCTATAGAAATATTCTTTTAAAAATGTAGCCTACACTATTTCCCTCCACCAGGAGAAACAGAACACATACCCCTTGCCAATGAATGGGAATCAGACAAGAATTCCCTTGATCACCATTCATTCATATGCAATGTTGCACCGGGAGTCTTAGCAAGAGCCGTTGCACAACAAAAAGGAATCAAAGGAATCCAAATTGGCAAAGAAGAAGTAAAACTCTCCCTATTTGCACATGATATGATTCTATCAATAGAAAATTGTTAGAACTAATTGAATATTTAGCAATCTTCGATTGCTGGTACAAGTTTAACTTACAAAAACCAAAACCAATCAGATTTCTGTATACTAACAGAGAGAGCTCTGAAAAGGAAATCTAGAACACGTTATCGCTGCCAACATGCACGGGTCATGCTCTCGCTCGCTTGCTCGATCTCTTTCTGCCGCCTTCTGGGTCCCCTGTTCCCTGTACAAAATGCCCCGGGAAGCCACAGACACAGCCAGTCCCTGCCACAGAGCAGGAGTTGCCTTGGTCCCAGGCTGAGACTGGATCCAAAGAACAGCATTCCACACAGGCAGCCAACCACAGGACAAGCCCCCCTGGCGCTGGCCGCTGAAATCGTCGAGGACCCGGTCAGAAGAGCAGAGTCGGAGTGAAAAGAAAGCACTCGAGGCTATTTCCAAACCAGGTCTTCGACAAGTCACAGGGGTTACTAGAGTCACTATCTGGAATTCTAAGAATCTCCTCTTTGTTATCACAATGCCAGCTGTCTCCAAGAGAGCCCCCACTTCAAATCCCTACATCGTGTTGGGGGAAGCCAAGATCCAGGGTTTATCTCAGCAAGCATACTTAGCAACTGCTGAGAAATTCAAAGTTCAAGGCGAAGCCGTCACCAGCATTCAAGAAAACACACACACTTCAACTGTACAAAAGGAGAGTGACGAGGAAAGGGTTGATGAAACAGGACATAGAACTGGTCATGTCACAGCAAATATCTCGAGTGGAAAGGCAGCAGATGAAGAGCAGCAGGAATGATATTGTAAATGCTTTTATGGAATTAATAATGTAACCATCTGAAAACAAAGATTTTTTTTTGGTGTGTCAAAAGAGTTTGGTTTGAAATTTGTACTGTTTTTATAATTAATAAAGTCATGGCTTCTGGTTGGATGGAAAAAGAAAGAATTATCATTTACAATAGTCCCCCTTCCTGCCCCCCAAATATGAAATACTTCTGAATAAACCTAACTAGTGAAACAAAAGACTCATACAAAGAAAAATACAAAACACTACTAGAAACCTACATAAATGAAAGAAGATCCTATGTTCTTGGGAGACTGTGGTAGTTACATAATCTCCTGTCAACTTGCAAAGGGGTGGAGTCCAGCTTGTCAATCTGGCCATAGCTAATGAGGCATCTATGTGGGCATGGCCCTTTCCTGAGGATTCTGGGAACTCCTGTATTCCTCCCTGGAGGCAGGATGCACTCTGCTTTGTCTCCCTGCACGACGTTCCTGTTGACAAGCCACATGGAGCTATGCTGATGGAACCAGAACCCTGGAGCTGGAGGAGCCATGTGGAGACTCATGCCAGTGCTGAGATGCTTCCACCACCACTGGATCACAAGACTTTCCACCCCCTGGCCTGTGATCTTCCTGCATTCAGCATCATTGCCTGTGTTTTGTGAGCCTGAAGAGTACTTTATAGATTGGTATCAGACATAATGGGCTAATATCAGACTTATGGACTTGATCTGGACTGGGCTGAGATGTTTTCTCAATATTTAATTGCTCTTGTATGAAGCTCTTTCTTAGACACATATTAGTGCCTATGAATTTGTTTATCTAGCCAACCCAGACTAATACACAAATATAACATTATGAAACTTCCAATACTACCCAAAGCAATCTATCTATATAGATATATATTTCAACTTTTTAAAGAGGTGGAAAAACTAATCACCAACTTTATCTAGAAAAGAAAGAAGCACAGAATAAGCAAGACACTACTAAAGAAGAACAGACTGTGAGAACTCTCACTTCCCAACCTCAAAACCTGCTACCCAGCCACAGTAACCTAAACAGCCTAGCACTGGTCCAAAAGAAACTTAGACCAATGGAATAGAACAGAGAACGCAAAGATAAATCCATTCTCCTGCAGACAACCAAATGTTGACAAAGGGCATAAAAACATTAGGGTGAAAGAGATAGTCTCTCCAACAAATGGTTCTGGCAAAACTAGATTTCTATTTCCAGAAGAATAAAACAGGATCCATGCCTAACTCCATATACAAAAAACGAAATCAAGATTAGGATTAGAGACTAAGTGTAAATCCAACACTATAAAGATCATAATGAAAACACAGGGACAGACTTAAGGCCCTAGTACATTGTCAAGCACAATGAAAAGTGCACACAGCAGAAGACAAGATAGATGACTGGGACCTCCTAAAAGTAACACACACATTGAGCTGCTAACCATAAGGCCAGCAGTTCGAAAACACCAGCTGCTTCTTGGGTGAAAAGATGAGGCTTTCTACTCCCCCAGAGTTACATTCTGGAAACCGATAGGAGCAGCTCCTATAGACTCACTGTGAGTTTGGACTTGATGTTGGTTGGGTTTTTGTTTGTTTTATTTCGTTTGTTAATGTGCCCCAAAAGATTTCACAGAAAGAAGACAAAGAAAACTAGGGTACGGGCGGGAGTGGGGGTGGGGGCGGGGGCGGGAGTTATTGGCAAGGCTATATCAGAAAAGGGACTAACCTCTAACAACTATAGAAAACTTCAACACTTCAACAAGAAAAAGATGAATGCTCCAATTAAGAAACGGGCAGAGGGCATCAATAGACAATTTACCAAGGACGACATTCAGGCTGCCAACAAGCATGAAGAAAGACTTACGAGTACTGGACAGCTGAAAGATGAAAAAAACAAACCAGCCACGTGCTACACCCTCGGCCCAGATTGTTAGCAAGGTTAAAAGATGTACAGAAGCACAAATGCTGGAGGGAAAACAGAAAGACTAGCACCTCCTAGCACGGAAAATTGTAAAGGTAATTTCGAAGTGAAGATTTGTAGTGGGATGAGATGTAATAAAATCTTTTCTTGGGGGTTAAAATTTAAGTTAATGTGTAAAATGCATATACAAATGCCCAAATGTAAATAAGGAAAAATCTCTACTGTGGCTTCTCTTCTGGTGCAATTCTGAATTCCTCTCTGTATGTCTTAGTGTATCTACTGTGCATACATGATGTCCCATTCCCCTCCCGCGGGTGTGAATTTTAAGAAGGACCACCCAGGTTCCCTTAGAGAAAATGGTGGTTTGACTCAGGTTAACACCTATCAAATTTTAACATGAGACTCAGTGATTAGGAAGAGATTTGTTAGGTATAGTTGCAGCATTAACTTTAGATTTCTGTTGTAGAATATTCTGGTTTCATTGATGGAAGAAACTGAGACAGGTACAGTGTCCCAAAGAACACTCATTTGTGTTTCTTTTTTGACCAGAATATGGGGGGGGGGTGGCCTGGAAACTAGACAAAGGAGGTCAGGATCCAGGGCACCGTGTTGAGTGGAGACAGCGTGAGCTGTTCCGTTCATCCG